CAAACAACAAAAAAAAAAAAAAAAAAAAAAAAAAAAAAAACAGAATACTCCACATATGGCACACATACATGGTAGAAAAAAACGGAAAAAAAAGCTAACAAAAATACACTGATTCGATTGAAAAACGCCAAAAGTCCGAGAGACGCGTCACAAGATGAAAAAACAAAAAAAAACAGAAGCTCATGGAAAAATAAAAACGCTCAAATACGCAGTCGAGGGATGAAATCACGAATCACAGCTGCACATTTTCCCGAAATCGCAACAAGGCTGAAGCCAAGGCCGCCAAATTGAGTTCAAAATGCTGAACTGGTCCTCTGGTGGGTTCACCATCAGAGCCTCGTCCAAATCCCGCGCTGCGCTTTTCACAAGGTCCAATACTTGTCGATACTTGTCCGTCGCCGGGTTCAACGCATGCTTCTCAGTCATGTCCTCCTGAATGTTGTAGACCAGGGGTGGGTCCAGTGTGACCACGTCCCCGGGGGTGCAGAAACAGATGAACTCGCATCTGTACGTTCCGGGCAAGAATTTCGGGTGGGCAAAGATAACCTGTCAAAAGAAAAACGAAATAAAGCAATACTGAAGTACAGTAATGTATTTACTGAAGTGCAGTACTTTGCTTCTCAATTTTGAGTAACCAGAAATTAAAATTAATTTCAAATCATAAATGGTAACAAAATTCTCCACCAGATTTTTTTTCAATTTTCATTACATCGGGAGCATTAAGGTTTTCATGTTTTGTTCAAGTTTAAAAACCACATCATAACTAAGTCATTTGTGGAAAATTTTAGACTTGCAGTATTTTGAACAAATGTTCCCCAAACTGTGGTTTGCGGACCAGCGCAGGTCTGCAGAATTGTTTTTCCAGTCCAAGGGAAATTTTCTTCAATATTATACATTTGTCAAATGTAGCAATGAAGTCTTTCATCTATATCTGAAATTTTGGAAAGACAAGGGCAGTTGAAAGTATCTGGTGAAAAATATAAGTAGGCTTTTCTCCTAATGTCGCTTCGGATAAATTTCACCTGCTGAAATAAATTATTTAATTTTTTATTCTGAGAAACCTTGCTTCAAGCCCACCTTGTATTAATTTTTGAAGACATCCTGCTAGAACTGCTCTCTTGGTTCTCAACTTACTTTTTGCAAATAGACAGGAACTTTTCAAATACCTGCCATGAAGTTTTTCAAACAAAACTTTTTTTCAGTCTGCAACAACTTTATGAAACTGTGCCGGTCTGTAGTAATTTTTTGGAAATTTGCCAGTCTGCTAACAATTTTTAAGGAAATTTGCCTGTCTGCAGGCCCAAAAAGGTGGGGAACACTGTTTCGAACAACATTATTTGAGAAACTGAATTTGGTTGGACAGAAGTTGAATTTAGGACCAATTCTTGTCAAAGTTTATAAAGTTTTACAAATTTCATGTTTTTAAACACCGTACAACAGATTTTTTTCACAAAGATGGGGTGGATGTTTTACACATGGATAGGTTTTCATCCAAATTTTAGGCTGAAATTTTGAGGTTTGTATTCAACTCAAGGGTGCAGTGTTCTATAGGAAACAATTGAGAATTAGTTGAATTCAGGTTCAATTCATAACTAAATTCAAGTTTGGGTGTTCGTATTTTTGAAATATTGCAGTTTCATTAGTTGAATTCAGGTTCAATTCATAACTAAATTCAAGTTTGGGTGTTCGTATTTTTGAAATATTGCAGTTTCATTAGTTGAATTCAGGTTCAATTCACAACTTAATTCAAGTTTGGATGTTCGTATTTTTGAAATACAGTATTGCCGTTTCAGTCAATAAAATGGGTTGCGTTGTCTCACTTGAGGATACACTTAGATCAAATTTTTTTTTTGGCTGAAAAACCCTGGCGCGTGTCTTCCTTGAGGGCGCTTGGTACTCGAGTAAATACGGTACAGAATTTCGTTTTCCCACAATTCACGAAGACGTGAAACAAAAAACAAATATGCACCTTCCAAACATGGTCCACGTCTTCCACGTAACGAGCCCCATGCAGATACGTCCCACAAAAATGAAGCAGCACCTTGTGCGGGGAATCATCAGTCCCATTGCTGAGCACTTGAGTCAAATCCTTCCCGTCCATCCGACGGGTGTCCACATTCAAGCCAGCCAGCGACGCGAAAGTCGGCAACAAGTCCATCTGACTCGTCGGAACTGCAACTTCTCGACCAGCAGGGAATACTTTCGGATACCTGAAACGACGAAAAATTAATCCCAATTCTCAAGCGGTTCCCGAAAATAAGCAAGTGAAAATAGAGAAATGTGCAACAAATTAATAATAATACACGTGGCCTCTCAAAAATCATGAAGTTAAGCTAGGATCTAGCGAACGAATTCCCTAGTATCTCTTCGGAAGATTTAGGAGTTTTAAACATTTTCTTAGATTTCGGAATAGATTGAAAAATCAATTAAATTGGGAAAAAATATTGAAAACTTGTCAAAACCTTTCAAATCCGGATCAACATTCCTACTGAACGTGAGAACCAAGTTTAAGCAATGTTTTTTGGACGAAATATTTTCATCATTTTTATGTTCTACTCACTACCAGACAAAGCTATAACATTTTTTAAAACTTAAATTGGCAAGGATTTCATGCTACTTGGGAGGATAATTTATCTTATAATTTTTCACAAATTTGGGGAATTATGCTCAACATTCCTGAAAATGGAAATATAGTACAGTACTGTAAACAAGGGTTCTAACAAAAGTTCTTGCAATGTAAATGAAAATGTCGTCTCTTTGAAAAAGTGGATAGCAAAACTCTGCCAGGGTGAATTTTGCAAATCATTAAAAAAATTGTCAAACAGGGCTGATTTTTTTTGGTGCCAAAGAATATGTTTCCCCTAGAGAATAATTTTATTTTCAGCTTGATTAGACGCCATTTTAATTCCTATTCCAAGAACTTTTGTTAGAACCCTCGTATTATAGATTTTTTAGAAAATTGGCAGGCAAAGATAAATAAGATGAAAGTTTAATAGTGACTCTCGTATCTGTGGAATCAATTTCCGGGAACAACAGCTTCATCCAGTCCTTACATTGCAGCATATTTCGATTAAAATATAAATTTTTTTTGAGAAGTAATCAATCAAAGAAAATCTGTTCCCATTTTTATGCCAACCCTTCATTTTCAGGGAGACACGCACCAAAACGCGGGAACTTCATTACAGGTGGACTCTCTCCACAATGATTTTGTCTACAACAAATTTCTCTGTACAACGAATTCTTATTTGATCCCACAGGGTTCTTTGCCCATGTTTCTGCTGCTTCTCAAGAACGAACTTCGCTCTACAACGGATTTTTTTTTTGGTCCTTCGAGTTTTGTTGTAGAGAGTCCACCTGTAGTACCAGTACGCAATGACACCTTTTAAACTAGATACAAATCCCTCTTGAAAAAAAACATTCGATCGAATAACAATTTCGCCTAGATTCCGGATTTAAAAAATCCTAAATACATGCATTGTTTTTGAAAATAAATATCAATGAATTCTTGAATCTACTCTCTCCCTCTCTTTCTTTCTTTCTCTCTAATATGTCAAGTTGAATCACGGAAAAATTCAGCAATATCCCTGGCAGTGCTTCCAGCGTAATCAGGGCATCGCCGGAAAACCCCGTCTCACCTAATCACAGACGGAACCCGGATGCCGCCTTCCATGCTGCCCATGCCCTTGCCTCCCTTGAGCGGGAAATTGGATCCCCCAGCTGGGGAACCGTCTCCCATGGTCTCCTCCTGATGAGCACCATTGTCCGAGCTGAAGTACACCACTGTGTTGTCAGTCAAGTCCAGGGCGTCCAGCTGGGCCAGGATCTGTCCCATGCTGTGGTCCACCTCCATCACGCTGTCCCCGTAAGCACCGAATTGACTCTTGCCTCTGAATTTGTTCCCTGGCACCAATGCTGTGTGCACGTGCGTGAAGGCGAGAAATAACAGGAAAGGTTTGTCGTCTGATGCCTGCATGAAAAAAAAACAAACATTAAAAAGAAAAGCAAAAGTTCATTTCACTTGCAGTTGAGTTCCCCACTTTTTAAAAGTAACATCAGATTCTTTCTGTTCCCAAGTCTCATTTCCTTCTGTTACGTAGGTGTCGCCTGAATCTTATTGTCAAGAGTTGGGCACATGAAGTACACCAATAAAATGTAGCAGATCATTAATTATACTGTAGTAGATACAAATACTACAGCACTTCAAACTTAGCTTTTTCACTGTTGAAATTTTCGGGGTAATCACAAATGCTCAGACAAAAACTAACTGAAAGAATAATCATTGCGACCTCCTTTTTCAACATACTTTCGTCAAACACGACATGATCTTGGAAATTATTCTCACAAAATAGATACAAATACTACAGTACACTGTACTTCAAACTTAGCTTTTTCACTGATGCATTTTCAGGGTAATCACAAATGCTCAGACAAAAACTGACTGAAAGAATAATCATTGCGACCTTCTTTTTCAACATACTCTGCCAAACATGACATGATCTTGAAAATTATTCTCACAAAAACCAAAGGATTCTGTAAAGAATAGATCCACTTTCAATTCCTCATTTTCAGAAATAATTATTATAATCCTGATGAACAAGATGCCAGTGTTATCAGACTTATCACTCAGAACACCAAGAAGATAGTCTACCAAATGCAGCCGAATTTATTCAATTCATCAGAAATTATTCAAAAAGAAAATTGAGTAGTTAAGAAATTTTACTCCGATGCTTTGTTTAAATTTTTGCGTATACTGTATTTTCATCCACCTAACTCAGCAACCATGTGTGTGTCATTCTTTACAGGTCATTGTACGTAAAAAAAAATTGAGGTTTAGAATCTTTCACAAATCCTGCAAAAACTCAAAAAATTTAGAAGAAGTTACTTAAGTTTATCCAAAATTTCTAAATCACCATCAAATTGCATCTTAAAATCTCTAATTCACCAACAAATGACATGAGCCATCAAATGCCCAGAAGTGGTAAATAGACTTTTGAAGAGAAATTAAGTCAGAAACACTTGCAATTTTTGGAAGCAATAATTCTTGAAATGTACCGTATTTAAAAATAATGACAGGTCACTTCTAATATAAATTTGTGGAAATTACAGTTAAAAAAGAAAGAGACGGAAAAAGCATCTCATGAATGGTGAATACAGGCTGTGAAATGTCTTCTCCAAGCAAAGAAAAAGGCCACACCTCCTCTTCAACGTTCTCAAATCCACGATAAACTTTTCTTTTCCTCTAGGTGTCACGTGAATCGCATTAATTCCCACATTCCTACGCAAATCAGGTCAGTTATTCAAATTGGAGACTGCTGTACACTGGACATCCAGGAAATAAGGAACAACCTGTAATGTGAAACAAAGCTGGCTCGGAAACCAGCGAGTCAAAAACAGAAGGGTGGTGCATCCTCTACTCGTCTAACGCTACGAAGTCTGTGACTCGGATAATTTTCCAAGATGCCACATGCCTTGTAGGTGTGACCGGGATCTCGTTACGTTAGATAACATGTCATGTCATTTTATTCACGTTATTCATCAAGTTGGTACACCTGCAACTCGATAAGTGAATTGCTTTATTCATGAATGAATTTCCGAACAAAAAACAAAAAAAATGTCAACAGGCCTCGTTTCGCAGCAACAACAAAAAAAAAAAGCGTCATCACCAACTCCACTCACCTGCTGATCAATAAAGTTCATGGCTTCCCCAACAAAGCGTTCAGTCAATCCGTCCAAATCCAACGGCTGTTCCACCACGTCCAAGTTCTTCATCAAGACCCCAGAAAACGTGCGAAAATTGTGCAACGGCATCAGCACGCATCCCAAAACGGAGCACATCAGCAGGAACACCATCGCAGCTGCACACGCCCGCTTCGTCACCAGCCACAAGAAAGTCAGCGCGGAAATCATCAACGACACCCAGGCAGCCGTCACGAGATGCATAAAGGGTTTCAGCACAGAGGAATGTAGACCGTCGTTGTTGCCAAAGTCCCGGAGGTTGGTCAACGGCAGGCCGTAGAAGTAGTCGAACCCGTGGCTGTTGGGGTGGTGGCAAAAGTCGGGCGGGAACCCGCAGTGGAGCCCCAAGTGCCATTTGCCAATCAGCGCTGTGGAATAGCCGGATTCTTGCAGCACCCGTGGCAGCGTTTTCACGCCTACCGGCAATCCTCCTGAAAGGAAAACAATAAATAAATACAGGGTGGACTCTCTTCACAACAAAATTCGGGGGACCAGAAAATAAATTCGTTGTTCGGAGGATTTCGTCCTAGAAAACTTTCATGTGAGCAAAAACATAATTGCTATACAGATAAGGTTGTTGTAGAGAGAATCTTCCTACATTCGCACCTAGATTTTTTTAAACTAATATTTGAATAAAAATGTACAGTTTCATAAGATGCACACCAGTTTTTGACTGAAAAATTGAAAATACATTTCATTACAGTAATACCATTTTGGTGCTTTCCTGTTATCTCAGTGCCCATTTTTCTTTGTCTCGTGAATTCAGTATTTGTTAGGTTAGGTCAGGTTATGTTAATTAAAAGATATTTATAACTAACATAACCTGACACAACCTAACTTTACCTAACCGCCTCCCAAAATCAGTTTCAGCAGAATGCGCAAAAATGAAATTCACAGTTTCTGGTAGGTGCATGGAAAGAAGGTACTGAGATAACAGGAAAGTACCTCACATTCTTTCTTCCTGAAAAATTTGAATACTGTATGTTGAAAATAAAACGTTAAAATTTTGATTTGAATTCAATTGAACCTAAATATTATTAATTCTCAATTGTAAAAATTTTTACATTTTCTTGCTTAAAATGGGTCCAACATCTTTCTGTATTCCCTCTGCACAAAAAACCAGGGGGACCAGAAAAATATTGTTTCTGAGAGAATTTTGTCATGGCAAGCCCCTGAAAGATGAGCTGAGAACCCTATGAGGGCAAATAAATGTTTTTATTAACCGACGTCCACTGTACAGTAACCTACTCTAGAGTGATCTTGACAGTACCCCATTGTAAAAAAGAAAAGAAAAATTGAAGAAAACACATTTAAGGACGAAAGATCCCACCAGTGGACGCGAGGTTGAGGAAGACCCTGTTCAACCGGGACGACTCCATCCCAATGGACACCGGATATCGCGCAGTGAGCAAGGCGGCGCGACTCGGCGTGCAAATCGGCGACGCCGCGATGTGCTGCGACAGTTTCACGCCTTCGCGACACAGCCGATCGATGTTGGGCGTCGGGAGGGACTGATTGCCGAAGCAACCGACGTCCCCGTAGCCCAGGTCGTCCACCAAGAAGACCACCAAGTTGGGCGGCGGCGGCTTGTCGGCGTCCCCTGCGGCGAACACGCAACACCACGCCAACAGCGTCGCTACCGCGAGGGGAAACGCTTCCATTTCTCACTTTGTCTGCAATTCGACGAAACGAAATAATTTTATACGAACAGCGTTTGAAACTTTTCCCAGACGGAGTTAACGCCGAAAAGAAAAATACAAAAAAATCACTCTCGACGCACGGTGCGACACGAAATTTCAAATCAAGTCTGCTTTTGTCATTATTTCTCCTCCCAAAATTTATTCTAGATAACCTTCTTTGTAAGCTTTCTCTTCCGGCCGTAAAATGATACCCTGGATAATGAACGCCTCACATAATGAACTACTCAAGATGCCACTTATTCCTATCTCTCCGTGCTGCTGATAACGGCATTGCTGCTTCTGATAATAAAATGTTAGAAAATCTTCAAATAGCTTCAACTTAACATTTACGCATTCGAACGTTACGGAGTTTTCCATCAATAGTTTAAAATATTTTTTGAACAGTTCACTTCCTACCAATAAAAAAGTTGGTATTGAAGTATCACCGTAATTGGGGAATCAAAAATTAATTTGTGGTACAGAGGATATCACGGCGAAGAAGCAGCTCACACAGGATGACCTGAATAATCTTCGAACAATATTTAAAATGAAACTTCAAAAAGTAAAAGTTTGAATTCAGGACCAAATGAAAGTTCAATGGAATCTATTATTATCTTGTGAATGGTTTCAGTTCTTAGTCTCTTCGTCAATTATCGCAGCAATGGTCATCGGAAAAAATATACCTCTAAAAAAATGCAAAATGAAGAAAAAATATCTTTCAAGCTGATATTTCTTCAAAACTGCGAACGTTGCAAAGTTGAATTTTTGAAATTTGAAAAACCCAAAAAATAAAATACAGTATTTGCAAAATTGGTCTGGAGAGGGCTTTATTTTAGTTTCGTTCGATTAACCTCGTTCGATTAACCCCAGCACAAGAAAAAAATCTTTTTTGTGGATCTGATAAGACTTTCTTCAAGATTAAATTTTCAATGAAGCAAACTTTTCTCCCGGGCCAACGAAAGCCTCTAATGTACTTTCTGAAATTTCAGTGAAGCATTGACTGTATACCTACAATCTCATCCAAAAGGTTCGCTATTTTCTCATTCGAACCGTACCAACAAAAATTGAAGAAAACAAGGACAAAAACCTTCGTTTGATCTAATTCGTGTCATCGAATTTTTGATGACATAAAAAGTTACCAAAAAGCCGAACTGAATTACTTCAAGGTATTGTATACTATACAAAAATTTACTTTTGTACCAAAACTATCAACCCCAGCACAGGGAACACGCCAAAAAAATGCTTCGAATTTAAAACAAAGCTTGGTCTGGGTGAAAATCCATCCCTCAAGTTAGTGTAATGAGAAAACCAGACACACTTTCAAAAATTCTTTCCCGCGTCACACCTTGTGAAAAGAGAGAGATTGATAAACAGGTGAACTCTCAGAACAAAATTTGAAGGGACCAGAAAAAAAAATTATTGTAGAGAACCATGTAGGACCAAACGAAGTATTTATACAAAGAAAATCACTGTAGACATGATTGTCGTAGTGAGAGTCCACCTGTTTAGTACACTAGAAAAAAAAAAGCAATATAAACTCGAGATCACTTTCCAACAACGCGGAAGACAATGTTTTCCTGTCGTCCTTTCTTTCATCTTTCCCTTCACACCAAGCCCACATATTTGCCGAAACGCAAGTACTCGTCGTAGACTCGCTCGTACACCTCCCAAGCAGTGCCTCGAAGCGCACCTTTCAAATACCCCAGCCCCCTTTCGTCGCACAAATCCAACCACCGGAACACACAGCCGTGCAAATGCTTCTTCAACTCTGGCACCACCGACATGGCAGTCAGCTCCTCCACCGCTTCCACCACCACGTACGGCGCGATTCGAGCAAAGTCGGCCTTGAACTGCCGCTTCAAAGAGCCCACGACGCGTTCTAGAGCAGTGGAGCAGGAGATGAGGTGGGAACGAGTCGCGGGTCGGGAGAAGAAGTCCAAGTCGTCGTTGCACTGTGACATCCAAGAGCAGAGACGCTTCCAGGCCCAGAGGAAATGACGAATCCACACGTGTTCCCAGCCGGCAACGACGAATCCGTGTTTCCGCAATGCCGACTGCAGCAACTGGAATCAAGGCCATACAGATAATTGAGTCAATGGTTGTAGACAAGAAAATGTGTGTGAAACTAATGCAGCACGGCTTCATCAAAAAGTACATTCGAGCCTTGAGATGTGAACATATATGGTTTTTTTTTTACTTTTCTATTCGTTGAAATGTCCACACAGGTCAGATCATCATTTCCCCGAAGACTTTCATGGGAATTTTTCATTCACGCATATCTGTTGGCTAAAATTTTGAAAAATGTCTCCAGAAATTATGAAATATAAGTGTTTTCTCAACTTCAAGTTGCAGCATTGATCATGTCCAAGAGAATCTCACAGAATATATCCTTCTGGTATGAAAATAAATCCAAAAAGCAAAAAGTAAGCACACATCTTGCCAATCTGTAACGTGCATGGAATTTAAAAAAAAAAAAGCACTGAAAGGAAAGCACAAAATTAGTTCGTTTTGGATTATTGCATAAAATAGAGTAAATTTAAAATAAGTAATAGAATATTTTTGTGAATATAAATAGTTCAATTTGTCCAAGAGATATACGAAAGTTTAAAATTTTCAATTTTTCTAGACATTTTTTTCAAGTGTGTCAATCACTTAACATTGTCCAGATGTTTGGGGCCATTTATCAGTCGGAACTCTCATAAGCGCCCCTTAGCAAAATTGTTCGAATGTTGCGGCATCCATATACAGTACTGGGCTCTATTCTACAAATTTAAAAAAAACCTTCAAATATTAAATCATGGCTTATAACTGAGTCGTTTCTTTCGTTCCCTGTCCAAAAGCCCACTATTTATTTGAATTTTTGCAAAAAAAGGTGTTGTGTCGTTCCTCATGGCTTCGTTGTACAAAACAGTACCGAGATTTAACGGATATACAGTTAATAAATAAAATCAGAATTGAATTTCTTAGAACTGTGTTTTTATAGGAAAATAAATATCAGAAAATTTTGAGCAAAATTCCCCCTCAGTATATAAAAGAAGTGCTTGTGACCCCAAAAACTAATTCTTCAACGGATGTTCTCGTAATACTGTAGCAGATTTTACTTTGTGTACTAACGTGTACCATAAGTGTATTGCATAATGATTCATGATAGTTCCCTTCAAAAACAGGAAGGAACATTCCAAAAAAAAATAAATAAATTCTAATACTTGTGAGGGTTCAAAACCTCAAAAATGATCCACTGAAAAAAGCCTTGAAAATTTGGTATTGACAAGATTTTTATACAGTCGAGCCTTACCAAGTCAAACCTCTCCAAATATTTTTTTAAGTCTGTCTGAATTCCCTTAGGAACAATGCCTTGAAAACCTACCTGACTCAGTCTTTTCCTCTAAAACCTTCATAAGTCAAATTTTGAGGCCTTTAGGGTATTGTTTTATTGAAAAAGTAAAGAAAAAATCAATAAAAATGGAATTTGATGTGCTCAAAGAATGCAACAGACTGAATTGATAAAGTAAAATGAACCCCTGTCTCAAAGTTGAGTGCCCTGTCAACTAACTCATTTTAGAAGCAATTTAAGGCCCACAATATCAAAATGTACAATTTCGGGCAATTTTTCAATGTTTCCCACAATAAAAATGCTTGATTCTATAAGATGAACATATATGATTCTATACAACTCAAAACCTCCCTGAGTAAATTTATTTTGCTGGTCCCTTGAAATTCAACTTAGAGAGGTTGAACCAAAGCTTTGTATCAATAACCTTTCTGCCAGGACCTTTGAACAAAGCCGCAGTAATAAATAATCCGCTGTAATGGAATTTCACCAGAATTGAAGGAATAAAAATCAGGTTAAGCTTAGATTCGCCACTAAACTTTTCCTCTTGTGGGTCAGCTTCAGTGGCAGTAAAAATCAGGTCGCATCTTAGACTTCACAAAAATCTCGCATTCGCGTAATTGAGGTAAGGTATTCACTGTCCCTTGAAATGCACTGTACCTCGCAAGCAGACAGGAAACCAAAGACACCAACAGCATCAAACTCCGTCCCATCGTTCAAAACTGCAAACAGAATCGATTGGTACCCGCTCTGGACAAAAATCCATTGCGGACCCATTCTACTCAGGAGCAAGGTGTGCAGCTGAACATAACCCGCCAACAACTCTCGCTCCCAAAGACCAGTCCTGGGTTCAGTAGCGAAACATTTGACAGCGTGATTCAAACGCATCGCCATCGAGTCCCGTTCCTCGAAACACTTGAATTCCGAAGCTTTCACGAACGCGAGTCCCAACGCACACAAGGTTCCCAGAGACGCATTCGTTTCGAGTTTCAAATCGTGCTCGAAACGCTGAATCAACGCCAGGTAAAATTCTTCCTTCTCCAAACACTTGCTCACACACACTTCGAGAGACGTCGAGAGTCGTCGTTTGCTCTTCCTCAAGGAACTGATGAACTCTTGCATCCAGTGCGTTTCAGAGGCGTAACTCTTCTCGAGAAACGGAGTCCAGTTTTCCAGAGACAGGATCACTTGGCTCAAATTTTCGATTTTCGCGTGAGAAAAGAGCTTCAAGAGGAGATCCACGTCTTCGGTGCAACACGAATTCAGGATCTGTCGGTTGTCCTTCCACTCTGTCACGAGTTTTTGAACATTTTCGGAACACAGGTTGTTTTTCAGTTTAGACATGACCGTTATGATATCGTGAAAATTAGGGCTTGAGAAGAGTGGGGATTCGTCAACGAGGTTTTTTAGGGCTTTGTTGAGCTTCTCCCCAGTCAGCGATAGTACAGCCCTGGATTTCTTTCCAACAGCCCGAGCAGCAAGAAAAACCTGGAAAAAGGGGAAGAAACCCAAAAAAATTCATTTGACAGACTCTTCAAACTTACCATATACCTAATTACTGATTTACTAAAAAACGTAATTGAGATAAGTATACAGTAAGTATCCATTTTCAACTCCGCCCCACTTGAAAATTTGGTGATTGGCCAGGAAATGATCAAACAGTACTCAGTAAATATTGAGCCCGTCTCCATTCTTTGAACAGGACTCTAGCAGAAGCCCGAAACCAGCAAGACATATAAAAAATCACCTCGTAATATACATTAATATCTTATGAAAGTGCGTGGTCAGAACGCAGGAAGTCCACCCATTGCCCCACTTTCCCTGAGCGCTGATTCGCAATTCTTAGCCTCAAACAACACTGAAACTACAAAATTAAAATCGACAGAAAATTTCAGAATCTGCTCTGTGCAATCGATTTCAGTATCGCTTCCCAGAAAATTTTCCAGCATTTTTCTGTTGGTTCACAACACATCCTGACGTGAAAACTGGTCAAGAACTTTCAGGTCTAACATTCTTTACGAGATAAAATACATTTGGTGAAAAGATTTCCGACACAAAAATGGGTTATTTAAATTTTAAACAGTCTCTTGATACGTCAGAAACGAAGTTTATCACTAAAAAAATGGGAAGAAAAACCTTTTGACAAAATCATTCATGAATTATCTCAAGGAGCTCTCGGAATTGTTGACTCAATCACAACATATTTACCCATACGGTAGTACATTAGAATAAAACATTCAAAAAAAGTATCCCATTGACTGCCAAATTGTCTACAAACCCATCTCTGCTTAATTTCACTTCAATTCCATTTTGGGAAGCTGGGGATGTTTTTTTATTTTTTTATTTTAAATTCAAAATTTTGTCAAATGCTTGAAATTTAAACTTGATCCCCAAATGGGGCTCACAGCAGGTACCACAACTCTTAACCATCTCTTTTTTTTTACCAATAACAAAAGCCTTTCATCCATTGGAAAAAAATATTTTGCGCATTCTATTGACTAAAACGTATTATTGTAAGCAAAACGCAAGTGCAAACATGTCTTTTGATATATTTGTGACGCTAGAATGTCACCAGGAATGAAATGCATACATTTTTTCACATTTACCCAAACAATTTTGAAGTTTTTTGTGAAGCTAAAAAAAAAATGATCATCATTGAGCCTATAAACAAAGTTATCTTCTGAGGTTTTCCTGCTGTTAGATGAAGTTAATAAGCTTTAGGAGCAGCTTCAAAATTTTTTTCAGACAATTTTTCTTTATTACACACAAATGAGGAAAAACTTGAAATTTAATTTCATGGCTGATCATTTGTATTTCATATGTTTCTTTCATTACTTTTGCATGCTCAGCCCAGCATTTAGTTGTAATCAAGAGAAAAAACTTTTTGACACTCTTCATGAAAATTTAGGAATTATTTTTTAATGCTACCTGCATTGAGCACCATTTGGAAATCAAGGTCTTGACATTTTTGTGATGAATCAAAAGATAAAAAAATTTAAAGATGTGCCAAAGCATTCAGAACTAACCAGGCTAAAAGGACATGAAAAATTTTGAATTTAGCTGAATTATAAAGTACTTTTCTCACATTCCAAAAATCATGTTTCAACTTTCCAATGGAATTTGTGAGTTGGGTTCAGAAAACATGTTCTTGTAAAATAAAAATTGGGAGAAATTTGGCAAATGAGGTCATAAATTGTAGCTATCTTTATTGCAGAGCCACTACATATTTTGTAAACTAAATTTTGTTTTGATGGTATTTTTGGGGTGACAAAAAGCATCTAGGTTCAAAATGGGGCCCACACCAGAAATTGGTAATTGGTTAAAGCAATTACACAAAAATTTGACCAGTGCAGTGTTCCCCAACCCTTGGTCCATGGACCAGAGCTGGTCTGCAGAAGTTTTTTGCCAGTCCACAGGAATTTTCTTCAGCACAATAAATCAAAAGGAGCAATGTAGTCTACCATCTTCATCAGTTTTGGAAAGATGATGGCAGTTGAAATCATCTGATGAAAAATAAAAGTTGGCTCACTCATATAAACACTTCAGACAAATTTTCAACTACCAACATAAATTATTTGAATTATTCATCCCTATAAACCTGTTCTCAACCTTTCTAATTTTTGAAGACATTCCACTGCAGCTGCTTCATTGGTTACTAACTTGATTACAAAAAACTTTATAAATACCTACCATAAAATCTTTCAGGCAAAACTTTTTTGAGTGTGCACAAATTTTATGAATTTTTGCCGGTCCGCAGGGGACTAATGTACTCACCAGAATCTGCGACTCATCAACAGTCCGAATGAGATGCATCAACGACTTCTCATCTTCATGCGCAATACGAGAGACCAACTTCCAGATAATCTTCTCATCCTTGTAATGTGTCACACACAGTTGTACCATAGCCAACAAAGTTTCATAAGGCACAATCATTGGCTCGGGGCTGTCCAGCAAACGAGCTGCCATTTCAAAAAGTTTCTTACACTTCGGGTAGAAGCAAGTCGTGACAAATACTGCATAATAAAGACAAATCCGTCTGCCCTCGGGTAAATGTTCCAGAGGGACGGAAACCGAAGTCAATTCCAGCAGCTTTTGCAAATTCTCGTCTGAAATTTCCGTTTCAGATTCATTCTTCATTTGGGCCACGGTATCCAAGAGAGACGAAAACAACTGCGTAACATGGGACGCTTCCAACTCCGAGTCTTCCATGTTTTCGATCGAATTCCTCACACCTTTCAGGGCTTTCAACATTTTTTTCGAGCCAACAGTTCGTTCACATGCTTTCAAAAGCGAGCAAGAAATCACACGCACAGTCATCACTGATTCCCTCTGGTCAAACAAATGTCTTCTAATAACTCCCGAGTCTTCATTCTGCAAACGCATCAGCAACTTCACCTCCTGAATCGATTCTTCCGTATGAAGCAGCTTTTGCTTCAAATCCGCCAAAGATAATGTCAATTCACCGGATTCGAACTCAGGCGCGTCTTTCAGCTTTTTTTTCAGAAACAGACAGAGATCAACAAAGGCCGGTAGCGATTCGATTTCCGAACTGAGTGCAGTTTTGTAAGCCTCAATAAACGTTACCCACTGACCGCACAAGACCACAAAGCGCCAAAAATCCATGTTTTCGTAGTGCAACTTCGCAGAAACTGTAGTGAGCATGGCCAACAGCGACGTGCTGAAATTACTGACCCACAGTGACGGATTCACATGCGGTAGTTGAAAATTTCTCAAACCCGCAGAGATGCAAGGAAGCAGGACCGTCATCATTGCGGCTTCTGTCGACAAGTGAAACTGTAACGTTTTCATGATCGCCACCGCTTGTGATTGCGGGAGTTGGCTGAATTCCTCAGAGAGTGGCTTCAAAAGGAAGCTGAATTGCTGACGAGTCGGAGCTACTTCAACAACCGCGAGAAATTTCGAAAGAAACTTGGGCAACAATCTCGCGTGCGACGAGGATTTCAAGCACACGATGATTATATCGTCTCCCCAAGGAATAACTTCTTTCATGATCTCGACGAGGTTATCCAGGGCAATAGATGGATACATTTCCAGTAATAACGTCGCAGCTACTGAAGACGCTGGGCCGAGTTTCAAGATCACGCTCAAAAGATTGGTCAACCATTCTTTGAAACTGGTCTTTCCCCCAGGCAAATCGGATTCGACAGTTACGTTCTTCGACTTTAAACAACGCAACATTTCCAAAAATACCGGTAACATTTTGACGTCAACTTGTGAAAGTGATGGACTTAATCCGACGTTCTCTGCTAAACGTACGAATAATGCTTGGACTGGGAAAGCATTCCCATGGAAATCGACATCTGGGGTGAGATTTAGAAGTTCGGAAATAAAGACAGCCGCATCTTCGGAACTCATTTTCGTAAGAACTTCATCGCAGAATTCGAAAAACGCCTTTCCCTCCGACGTTTCTTTTCCCGAAAGGTGTTCTAATAAAGGATTTGACATGTACTTCGCCCCCTTGAAGATCCCCGGACTGAAAATGGCAGTGCTCATGAATGAGCTAAGCTCGTTCACGAAGGGCCTCTCCTTTTCCTTCAAATACTTCACAGTCGAGACAAGGAGTTCACGATAGACGAGGTCTTGAAGAGTCGACGTTGGGAGAAGAGTAGTTTCTTCTAATTCCCCGGACAGAAACTGCACCAGAGCTCCTATCGCTGATCGAAAGTTTTCACTTCCATCGTTCAAAATTATAAGAGCTCTCAACGATTGAATCGTGGAATTCAAACTCTGGCACTGGTCTGTTATGAATGCTGCTCGTATTACCATCAGGCATTCGTCTTTGACAGCGGAACATTCGCTTCTTGATAATGCTGAGGTGACAAGATTGAGAATTATCGCTGATGGAGCATATGAAGGATCAGACAACTTGATGGTGATGATTTGAAGAAGCTCCTGAACTTTCGCAATGCTGGCACCGTTGATCTTTCCACGGGATATTTTAGTAAGCAGCTGGTCACATAATTTATCCACATCGGCAATTGATGTTTCACTGAAGCGACGACCGTCATTTCCGGAGAATGACATCTTCAATCCCGGCATTCTCAACGACGGAAGATCTAGATAAACGAGCGATGGCTTGAGTTAATTTGTTACATCTTCACGGGTATTCGTTCAGAGTTCATCTGGTAAACTCACCTTTTAAACTGCCTGCATGAATAGACACGATTCCTCAAAGCTCGCCGGCCGGGAATTACGATTGCCAACAAATCGGACACGTTATCTGCGTCTTACGTCTTAACGCGGATAAAAGGGTCGAGCACTTAGTAACATGCTGGATATGAAACGCCTACAGATATTCACAAATTACAATATTCATCTCCAATTCGAACGTGTCGAGTAATCGCTGCTACCGGTAAACTCGAACCGTGGAATTGCGCGGCGCTCTTGAACTTAAGTGATATTGTACTGTACAGTACAATCATGGCGCAGGGCTTTTCACTAGCGACACCTGGGTTCCATTTTTAAGAAAATCAACGTACAGTACAGTGCAGGTAATGCTTCATGCATGGGGCTCCTACAGAACTGAAGCATTTTATTTCAACTAACACATACAATTTAGTTTTCTCCCCTCAAAAATATAATATACTGTATATGCATATATTCCCAGATTATACAAGGATGTGTGAGGAAATACAGTACTATCATTGGTACGCATAAGTAAAAATTACACAATTTATCAATGCACAACGTACTGCTGATAAAGCCCAACTCTATCTTAGCCTTTTATAATCAGCACACAATCTTTCTGAAGCACTGTACTGTATAAGCGTTCACATACTGAAAAATGCATGCATTCTTTATTCTAATTCAGTGATTATGGGGCATGCTTGAAAGAAAATTGCGCTATGAGGTATTGTATATACATCAACTGACCAAAATTTCCTGAAATTTTCGGAAGTTCAGGGGTGGATGTAGCATACTTGATTGTAAAATGTGGACCCAACGTAGGAATAATTTAAAATTGAGAGAATTATAAGCTAATTGAAGTAAGATTCAGTCCAAGTCATATTCTGAGATTTCTCATTCTCAAAGCGTTTTAATTTTTAGTGACCAAAATTTGGCGGGCATCTTAAATCAGGGATACGCTTTTATCCAGATAGTGGGCTGACAAATTCAGATGCGCATCTTACTCGCAGCACGTTTTTACTAGATCAAATACGGTATTTTCAAATAGAACAAATATGGACAACTTATCAGATATTTTCCACAGATCCCACTTGCATTTCCCACACTAATCATCATAGAAAACCCTACACCACATAATTCAATTATAACGGATACGCCATCCCAGAAGCACAGTTTTCTAATCATTATTTTCAGTGTGAACCGGTCATGACACCCATCAGCATCAAAGTCATACATCTTCATCTGCTTTGCAGCTGGGGCCTTGCGGTCCTTGCTACTGGCACTGGTGACTACCACAGCCAACGGAAAGGTTTGACTCTCCGGATACTTCTTACACATAAATCCCTAAACCCTTCCTCTCTTTGTGGCAGATGAAGACATGCGGAAGGTTCTTCCTTCCCTACACGCCAGCGCAGCAAACGAGATCCGGATGGTGAATGGTGGAAAATTCGCAGTGCCTCTCGGTCTAAATGTGTCAGCCTTCGGCCAGCTACCCACAAAGCCCAAGACCATAGAAAAGAAGAAAAAGCAGAAAAACTCCTTGTTCCACAAATTCGTCAACACAGAGATGGTGCTCGCGTATCCTTACGAGGGTCCTGGATGTCACGAGCATTTGGAGCTATTGAGAAAGCAATTGGCCGAAGACAGGGCCAAAGTGGACAAAATCAACAAGAAGACGGAACAAATCGTCAGGAAATTGATGGAAGAACACGGAATTCCACAAGCTAATAGTACTAGTTCCACAGTCAACACTACCACCAGCAGAGATTTACCCACTACAGAGAACCCTTCTCGTGTAATGCAAGCACTTATGCGCATTTGAGCTGGGCAAATGCGAGTTAAGATGATGGAAAATGCAACAAGAAACGCAGTGAGTTACTATGAAGTTCATTATTTTCCATGAAAAAATTCATTCCACACCGCACAGTAGGTTTAATTTGAAACTTTTCATTCTTCCTGTGTGAGATACACAGCATGATTGCTGAAAAGGAGAATTGTTGAAATCTAAATTTACATTTCTTCATGACAAACATTTTTCTGGATTATTCTTTCATACCACCAAAAATAGAGAGAGTAAAATGGGAAGCAAATCATGCAGAAGTAGAAATTCTTCATGAAGAGTATTCTTCGGTAAGCCATACATGAGCCACTTGGAAATTTTTTTTAGTCATATCTTAAAAATACAATCGTTCAAACGCTGCCAAAAATATTAAACATCAGGATTCATCCTCGAAAAAATAGTATTTAATTGGTTTTAGCAGTTTTTGGGAACGAAATCAACTTTAATTTGAGACTTGAATAAGATTTCTGACAGTGTTTTCACTACATATACAATTTTGGTTACTGAAATGAAAGAAAATGCGCGTCTCACGCAGGGATAGATTTGTTCATTAAATTTCCTGCTGGAACATTATAATACGCATCTTAATTGAGTAAATAACGGCTGTACAAAAACAAATACTGAAAATCTCACCAAGTGAATCGTTCAATTACGGCAAAAGATTTTAAAGATGTAAATGTCCAACGGCTTTCATTTTCTTTGAGCCAAATATAATAAATCGGGAATCAATTTATCTTATTCACTTCTGCGGGCGTGAGGTTATTCTTTTACCAAGATATATCCTAAGATATCAAGGGACTTCCCAAGAACCCATCAACAAAAACAACGCATGCAACATCTCGAATCGATCACCAATAAATCTCACAGTTCGGGATGCAGTTCATAACGATTCATTTTTGCTTTGTTAAAAATGTAAATTTTTTCGCTGAAAGGGGGATTTTTAATTTACGGCAACATTGAAAGCTTTTAGAAACGCATCTCTGTAACTGTAAGCGAACACCGGGAATTTTTATACCCCGAATAAAAGAACCAAAAGCTTAAAATGAAAACCCTTTCGTTCACTAGTGTCTTTCAGCAATGCAAATGAATGAATGGAACTGCAGTACCGCAGAGAACACTGCGAATATCTTCATTGCCCAGGATGGTGATTTTCTTCCCAAAAATATGGCATACAAATCCTGATAACGTATCCAAGTACATTTTACTCGGTCTACTGGGTTAAGGTTAACTCACAGAAAACAAAATCAAAGTTTGGAACATCCAGTTTCTCAACATATCAGCACAGCCCCTGACATATGATAAAAATAAGTTGCCTCATTGTCCTCAAGCCACAATATTCGCCCAAAAAAAATGACCTCAGAACTGAAATTCAAAGCCCTTCAATGAGCACATTGCACCATGCCTTGAAATTCTTGAAGCAAACTGATTGGGAAAACATCAACTTGAAAAAAAAAAAAAGAACACACGCGTAACACAAAAATCGATCGATGAACATTAGTAGCACTTGATGCTGTACTTGACAAATGAAAAAAAAACAGCAAATCGGGTCACAGGGCCTCACAAAACAACGAAATCCGACAAGCTTGACCTCGGCTGCGTTTGTGACTCGGGAAAATACAAGGAAATCACGTCGAAGACCCTGAGTCGCGCGTTCATCACTGCTTTCAGGCGTTCGGGGTCATCCAGAGACAAGTAGGTTTCTGGGTCACACGCAAAACCCGCTAGTCGATGCAATTCGTGCACTTGATCAGCGTCGGATTCATCAACCAAAGTGCGGATCATGGTTCGCAAATACCCAATGCCGGCAATGGGGTCAACCCGAACCAGTTCATTAAATCGTTGTCTCCGAATTTCGAACTGTATCTTTTGCACCAGCTGCTCCCTCGTGATGCGGAGTAATTTGAAAAACCAGAAGTCGTCCAGTCGCAATTGTCTGCAACCACTGCCAGGGTTGCCGCCGAATAAGAAGTGGGTCTTGGTGCTGTGGTCATACACCAACTGGTGGGCGTATCTTGAGAAGAAAAAGACGCGTCACATGAAAACTTTCATCCTATGAATAACTCCTGGTTTTAAACAAGAATCCTTTCCTCTGAATAACCCTCTCATACAATACCCTCCATTCAGTGCCAGGAAAAATGGTGGCACTAAATCGAATCCCTATGGCACATAAGCAGGGCCAAAAATCTGTTATAACGAGATTCCAGCCTAGAATGAGTTTATTGAAACAAGATTCGTATAACATCGCGCCTATGGAGAAACTACTGGGTCCAAGAAAAAATTTGTAATAATGAGACCGTAACGAAAATTTACCGAATACGAACACAGTATATAATTCCGAATAAAAACCAGAGTAGTTGACACGGCAGCAATGAGGCCAATATTCAATAAATTTTCTTCAACACTGCGTGTCCAGAAAAACCCGAAAAACTTGTCCAACTGTCCAAGCATTAATCCCACAGCTGTTCTAGAACATTTCCAGAATAATCCTTTCATCTTCTTCATTGGCCATTTAAATTACTGCACATCAATTATTGATTCATTTTAAAGGCACTCGTCACATGGCATATTTTTCACAGAAAAGCTACGACTTCAAAATGCAAAAATTCTCGTCAGGTGATTGGAAATTTTGAGGCGGGAGTTTCAAAATACTGCGTCTTCTTGGAACACGGAGAATATCCTACGGCGAGAAAGGAATTTTGAGTTTTACCCGCTCTTTCAGCTCAGAGTTTGCGCTTCAAATTCTCATCTACATTGAAACACGCCCGTCAAGAAATTTCATGCTGCCTAAACATGAGATAATCTTCAACAGAGTTGCCTCATGTGACTGAATCCATTCACAAGCTACTGAGTTTGCGAAAAGATTCCCAATACACACCTCGGACAGGGCTCAGCCATCACACTTTTGCCAGTCTTGTGCCTGCAGCTGTCATAACTGTAGACACACGACCAGACATTCCTAGAAATGCTGTACAACCACAAGCTGCTCTTGACAGAACTGGCAACACCGGCGCCTTTATCCTTCCCACGAGACGACCCTCTCAGCATAAAGATCTCATTCAACTCTGGATCCAACGTGGCACGCTGCGTCAACCCAACCGGTGGCCCAAGGAACCCTTCTTCCTCCCCAGTGTACACCATCTTCAGGTCATCGGTATCGATGCTATAAACCATCATGTCATTCAAAGCCTGTTTGTTCCTCTGGCCACCAAAGATGTACAGACAACGCGACACGGGATGTAGAACCACTGAGTGACCTGAACGTGACCGCATTCGGGTCGGACTCGGAGCCGGGTCAGCACTGTCCTTGCGAAGTTCCTTCCACTCTCGGGTTTCCGTGTTGAATGAGTACAGGCCGATCAAAGCTGGGTCCGCCACAGAGCCCTGCAGGGGAAGCACCGAAGCACGACCGCCACACACGAAAAGAGTCGCCGTTGCGCTGTCAAAGACTACTTGGTGGTCAAACAAGAGCGGAGGTCCGCCGTCGAAAACGGTGTCGTCGCTCAGCATCTCCCAGGTTCCTTCTAGCAAGTCGTAAACGTAGAAGTCACTCTTCATGTTCTCAATCGTCCTGGACTGACACTCCACATACCTAAAACATAAGATTCAAGTATTTGGTCAAATGTGCTGAAATGGATGGGAGACGGATATATCTGAGGCAACTTGCCAATTTTACCATCGAGGTCCGGTGGACAATTGATGACGTTTGGGCTCTTGGCCAGGTTAATCAGATTTCATGGTTCTGAAGGCAAAAGCTCATCGAAGTAAAACACTCAGTCAACCAGTACAAACCGCAACTCCGTCGGTTTGAAAAATCAGTGCTGCTACAGTCTTGTACATCAAGTACAGTACAGTACATAACTTCCTTGCTTTTTTGCATTTGGCAAGTTTCTTCCAATGCAAGCAGTATTTCGAAACCTCAGACACATAGTTTCGAAAAATTTAACAATTAAGACTGTCCAACGGCGTATCACTGAACTTCAACTGAAAAAAGTAGGAATCCTGGAGTTTAAAGCCCAGTATGTCAAGTTCAAACTTGAAAGAACAGCCAAAGGCCATGGAAATTCTCCATATCTTACAGAAAATTTTGAATTTTTTGCTTTTTAAATTTAATACGCATGGACTCCTCTTTCTACAACACATTTTAAGGGACCTGTAAAAATTAATTGTAGAGAAACCCTATGACATGGGGAGAATAAATTATTAATTATGCAGAGAAAAATTATTGCAGACAAGATCATTATACCAGGAGTCCACCTGTACTGATTTATTTACTCAATTACCGCGTGCCCTCCGATTAGATTCACACCCAGATTTTTTTTTTTGTGCCTAGAATTGTGAAATACACACCCTATTCATCAGTGACTCTAAAACTGATTTTTTTTTCCGAAATAAGACACATCAAAATTTTAACATAAAACTTGAAATGAATAGAACCTAAATTCAGATAATTTTCAATTCTTTCCACTACAAAATATTTTTGTCAAAAATTTCCCATCACAAACAAGGGACTCTCTCCACAACAAAATTCAGGGAACAAGGAAAAACTTATTGAAGAAAATCCCTATAACATTGGGAGACAACCTTATGGGATAAAAAAAGTTGCTGTTGTACAGAGAAAACCATTGTAAACCAGATTGTCGCAGAAAGTCCCCCTATATAACTCTCATGTAAATTTCTAAAACTTTTTGACAATTTTATAAGTACAGTATCTACAATATGCACCCACCCTCTTTTCCCCTCTCAATTTTGAGAAAAAAAGTGAATAGAACTTGAGTAAATGTTGTATGCTATTTTTACTCTGAAGATAATTCCCCTGGATACAAAAATGCGTTCAAGATATGCAAGAAAGTTGACATGAAGGAAAACATTCGGTGACGAACATGTACAGTAAATGTACAGTAAGCCTAAAAACAATAATCTGTTTTCCATTCGACACATTTTTGCTTCGACAAAATTAAAAAGAAGTAATTCTGAATAACTAATACCCATTTCAAAATTTCAACAGACCTGCCAAGCAAGTAGAGCTTCTTTCTCACAGAGTCAATGCACATCTTGTGGCACGATCTAGCAACAGGGCCACCATCCAGAAAGGTGTCCCTACTGATGCAGACCCACTTTTGTTCGGAAATCAGAAATGCCCAAAAATCTGACAAGTCCTGATATCCGTCCCAGCCACCGAAGAGGTAGATGATTTGCTGTTCAACGTCCATGGACATCTGGTGCCCACCACGCATTCCAGGAGTGACACAGCCTTTGTTTAACGGAATAAAAGGTTCCCACTCCACTCGATGAGGCTGGGCTGCAATATATTCGTCCAGCATCCCGTCCAAAATGGCTTCTTGCATCATATCTTCACAGCCCTCGAAGTCTCCAGCTTCTACAAACATTTGAAACCAGCTGCGAAAACAAAAATCTGTATGCAGATGAAATTGAAGGCAAACAATACAGGTGGACTCTCTCTACGTGACGTCACAACGGAATTCGAGGTACCAGACGAAAAAATTGTCGTGAAAAACTCTTTGCTGTGGACAACCCCTATAACACAGGGAACGAAACCCCACGGGGCCACAAAAAAAATCGTCGTAGAGTTTACGGTATGTGCACTCCATAATTCATTGAACTAACTACACGTACAGTATTTCTTCTCCACTATAACTGTCCCATCCTGTGTTTATTAATTTATGCACCTAAAAACCTACAGCCGAAGTAAAACGGCGATAATAATTTAGCTGTCCTAATCAGTGAAGACTAGAATTAAATTTCTAATGAATTTTAACATTACCTTAGGGACGACAGACATTAAATTAATAGGTTAGTTACGATTAAATTATCTCAGTGAAGAGGGTTAGGTGCTAGTTTGGGTGACATTTACGTATTAGAAGCAGAAAAATATACAATGGGTACCCGACGTACAGACGATTCGACTTAGGGACACTGTAAACCCACAAAATCTACCCCGACATCCGGACAGTGTCTCAAAATATGGAAACTTCAAAAGTTTCCAAGAAAAATTTTAAAACTTGATTTTTCTAAATTCTGAAATCTCGAACAAAACTGAGCTCCTTGCACTCACAAAATTGAAAAATAAATTTGATTATAAAATTACCGAAATTCACAATCAAAAACAGGCTGATTTTGTGCTTATTTTTCAAAGTTCAGTACTTTCCAACATGCATGCACAGTATAGCCAGATTTGTTCTTAGCTTTTTGAGCTCCTTCTGATGCCAAAATATCAGGTTCTGTGTGGTTTTCTTATACACAATTATCATCTGTGCGTTGAAGTCGAGAAAGAAAATTCTATTCCACTTCTTGGGTACTTTATTCCTAATTTTTGATGAACAGCAAAACCAATTGAATATATCCCGACTAGTGTCTATGGGAAAAGGTGACCTGACATCCGGACGCTCTGACATACAGGTACTAGATCCGAACACCAATTACGTCCGCATCTCGGGGCCCCACTTTCAAAACTATGGAGCCGGTTCAAGAGTATATTTCTGCAAATTTTCTTCCTTTCGTTCAGGAATACAAAACCCGGATCTTACCTTGACAAGAAGGGATGCTCGAGCTCGACTTTTGAGGCATGCAGTAGGGCTTCGTAAGCATCAGTATACCGCCGTTGTCTGAGGAATTTGAGACACAGGCGGACTGTTTCGCGCTCCTTGCAAGTTTGAAAAAAGTTCATCTGCGGCCCAACGACGTCCCAATTGTCCACTCCTCTCAATGCCAAGTACCAAATGCTGAAATTCACGCACGGGCCCCAAGACTGCAGAGGCATGATTTTGATATATCTGCAATCAAAGAATCGCCACATCATGAAAATAAATAAGGAACAGATGCGAAAAAGCTTTAAGCACACTCACCGACAAGGAAAGCAGCTCCCATTTAAAGTGTGCTTCAACGGGAAATTTTCGCCCATGGAGTCATTCCGCAAAGTGCCTTCCAACAGTTCGACCATGTCGTCCTCGGGATGCAAGCTGCCAAAAACTTTGAACCGTTTAAGGTTGCATACGTGGTTTTTCTCATATTTGCCGAAGTAGATGTACTTCACGATTGCTGGATGGTCCAACTTGAGAATAAGGTACTGCGGTGGACTGTTAGACTCGGAAGACCAACGAGAACCCTGATCACGAGGATTGTCAATTTTAATATTCTCAGGCGAGTAGTTGGGAGAACTGCTCGAGCATCTGCACACCGTAAATTCCAGCACCTTGTCTATTTGATGTTCCATGTTAGTTATTTCACAATTAACTTTTTTTTATATCAATTGTGGAGGCACTGAGAAAAGAAGAATTAACCGAACATTCGTTAGTTAATTCAGAAACCTTGAAAATTTAGATTTCATCGTGACAACGAAACTTCAGTCCATGAATTCATGCCAATTTCAGGGCATCGACATGCACGAAAATCACGGTAAAAGCTATCAATTATCATGCTTATTAGGCAAAACTGCCCTCAGTTCTCGTAATTCACCGGCTGCTGTTAAATCAGACTACTGCGCACTAACTGGCGATCAAACCGCTCCGAGCCGCGGTGAGTTTCTGCTCTGAAGTTCACCGGAACATAGGTGGCGTTCTCGTTCCTGACCACCACGTCGGAAGAAAAAGTACTGTGCAGTACTGTACAACTGTACCGTGAAGTATTCCAGTATACTGTAGTGTACTGCTATGTGTACATTACAAGTGAAAAACAATTGAAAATTTCATTTCAATTCATTTCACGGGAATTGCCAGCAATAGTCGTATAAATAATCCCTCAACTGTTCATAGATTTTTCTTTCTTTAAGTGTTCCACCAAATGTCTTCAAATCCCATGGTACGAAACTGAAGTCACTCAGGTGTAGCTACCCGGGAATGGCAGTTGCCGTAACGCGGCGCTCGCGAAGTAGGGTGAAGTAGTTCTAGGTCGAATTGATCTACAAGTCACAGTATCGGTGGCATTCAAGAATTGTGATTTACTCGTGAAGCGATGGTGATTCGTGCTGATCATCTTGGCTAAAGTCCCTGAGCTCCGAAAATTCATACGATGAGCATTGTAGTGTGTTACAGTGTGACCATCGAAGTCTCTTCCAGGACGTTGTAAAAGTTCCGAACTACTGTATTTCGTTTTGCTTCGAAGAGATTCTTCTTGATGCCCCACAAGCGTTAAGGATTTGGTTCATCGTTACGTTGTCGAATCAAGTACAGTGCGGTGACTGAGGTGTTGTGTTCTCTGTTGTATCTGCAGGTTTGTTGCGATTGTGATCGGTGAGTGACAAATCCCGGTATGGGTCCGAAAAAACCTGGTGAGTGACGTCTCTTACATTGATTCTGGTATTGATCCTCGTATGAATTGTTTTTCGATCTTTTGACGCTGTCCTAAATTGCATCTGTCTTCAGTTAACGTGAAATACCCGTGTTTGTTCCGATAAGGTGTGATATCTGTACTGTAAATTTGGTCCCGATTCTCTTGATTATTGCAACACGTTAAATTGCTGCAGCACGCAGTAACTAAATTCACTTCGGTCCATCCAGCACCTGCGCCGGCTGCGGCGAAGCCTGATAAGAAGGCTGGCGGAGACACGAAGAAGGAGGCGAAAAAAGATGCTAAAAGCAAGGACGAACCAAGTAAGAAGAAGGTTGCCCCGAAAGTTCCGAAAGCTGGCGCTGCTGCTGCTCCCAAGTCAGCTTCGGGTGCCAAGGCACCAAAGGTATGTAGTCGATATCGAGATGTTCAACTTTCTTCGAAGTATTGCAAGAAATTTCCTCGATTTTGAACCTGAAGAATCAACGAATCTAAAGTTAGGGTTTTGATTCTTCGGAGATGGAAATTGATGAACATGTATATGCAGGATAAGAAAGCGAGTGCAAAGGTAACCAAAGCAGTCCAGAAGGCGAAGCGGGTACAAATGAAGGTGATCAAGGGTCCGAATGGCACTCGAACCCGTAAGGTCCGCACGAAGTCGCGATTTTACCGCCCAAAAACTTTGTCGCTGCGTCGGCAACCGAAGTATCCCCGTCGATCCCATCCGAATCGCAACCGACTCGACGCCTGGAATATCATTAAACACCCGCTTACGACTGAGTCGGCCATGAAGAAGATCGAAGACAACAATACCCTTGTCTTCATCACTCATTTGCGAGCTAACAAGCATCACATCCGCCTGGCAGTCAAGAAGCTGTACGAGATTGAAGTCTCTAAAGTGAACACGCTCATTAGGTACGATATTTTTGTAACTCAAACCCTTTTTTTAACATCTTCATTTTTCGAGATAACTCTAGTTCCAGCTACAGTGAACAATGTGCTTTGGAGTAGTGAATTGGTTTTTTTTATTGTTGCCTTTTCTCCTCCAAGAGTCGTGGTACAGTATATTTTTTTCTAACGTAAACATCGCTGAAGGTTTCAGCTCAATCGTGAGCCAATTTTTTTTTGAAAAGCTACAGTGTTTGTCATGAGCATGTAGAAATACAGTAATTATTTCAGCGGTTAATGAATGAAAAAAAAATAATTGCAGTCTGATTGGAAGGTTGTACAGAACATGATTCCAGGGCTTCACCTCTGTTCAATGGAGGATTATGTGTGACATTTCAATTCTTTATTTTTCAGGCCTGATGGGAAGAAGAAAGCCTACGTCCGCCTCGCATCACACTACGATGCGCTTGATATCGCCAACAAAATTGGAATCATATGAATTCAGTTCAACGATATTCAATTCCTGGTGTGGAATGAATGATGCGGTTGGATTCCGTTCGGGACTGATTGGTCGTTTTCATTCATTTAATGCTCACATTATATTTGCATTATCCCTTTGATTCTGTTATTGGACTATATTTTCGGTATCACGCGTGTAGGCTGTGAGAATGGCGAGAAGTTTCGGGCATGTCATGGCGAGATGGTGTATTATCCGAGGATTAAGGCACTCTGCGGTTGCTGCCAATCCGAGGAAAGCATCCTCGATTTTGACGGAAGATTCTCTCGGGTTTGTATATTGTCGGAACTTTTCTTCATATTCGCGAAAAAAGCGTTTTGGTCAAAGATCGTCCAATTGTTGCATGGGGAAGGTTGGAATCCATGGTATACGTGTTTATCTTCGTGCATGATCGTGAGTTTGTTCATGTTGGGTAAATCTCGCGAGCGGTCATCGGATTCCAATTTTCCTTATGGGTTATCCCATTAACAATGTGCTGCTGCGAAACGACTGAGCATTATTGCTACAGTGCCATGAGAGGATTTTGGATCCTGGGTGGAATTTTTCGATGGCATGGGAACCGGTTTTACTCCGCGTTATGTTGGTGCTTGTGCCCTAAAAAAAGCTGTGAAACTGAATTTTTCAGCCCAGAATTTTGATGAAAATATATCCCTTCGTGAGGCGCGCACTTCATTTTTAGAGACAAAAAATATCCGAATTTTGCGAATGAAAACCCCTGTATTTACTCTAGTACGGTGTGCACCTTTTTTTTAAACGGTTGTACGTCATACTCGGGTGCACTTTTTTATTCAAACTTCACAACTTTTTCCCCGTTTATTACTTGTCGAAGTTCTGTGCTCCAATGATTCTTTCTATGTTTTGCATGAGACAAAATCAACGTTAAATCAAACTTTCAAGTTGCTTTTTTTTCCAAATTGTTTGCCCTATATAGTTTTAGAATTTCGGGGACTGAAAACCGAGGTGTGCATATTATTTGTGTGGTGTGCTTCAGTAAATACAATAGTGCATTTCAGAATTTTGATTTGAATACGAGTCAAAGGAAATTAACTTTCTGTTATTTCCATTTTTTGGAATTGGTTAGAAATTCCTCTTTAGAATCAAAAGTAGAACACGCACCAAAGCTGATTAACGTCTTTGATGCTGATCCATTTTTACTCTAAATTGAAAAAAAGGTGCACATGTTACCCATGTAAATACAATTTTGAAACGTTGAAGTTTGTGGAGCTCTAGATGTTTCATTGCTCCGGGATTTTTCTGGGCACAATGTTAATGTCGTCTCAAATCATTTCTCTAATTCAACTTGGATTTTGCCCTCAATTTTTTTCGAGCTTTCAGTGAGTTATGTATTTTTGTGAAGTTCGATCTTTTTTGGAGCAGGAAACGTGACGAGGATAAAAGTGGAACGACTGTTTCAACTCCCTTCGGATCGATTCGATTCGACGCCTCACAAAAGTCAACATCAACCGACCTGAATCCGATCGATGACGAATATTTCGGCAGTTACTTCCGACGAGCAGCGACAGAAGAGCATATAAAAGATGATAAAGAAACTCCTCATCAACGAAATAGTGTTGAAACGCGTGAGTCAGGGGGAGGAAGTTCGCAGCAGGATCTGGCTATGAACCACGTAGACCAGCAGTATTTTGGAAATTATTTGAACCCGAATGCAGGTGGAATGGAGAAAGATTTCGTTGGGTTGAACATTTTTGGTGGAGATTCTTCAATTATAACGTTTGCGAGACCGAGTATCACTGAAGAAGAGGAAGAGAAGCCGCTTGTCCAAGAAAAGAGGAGAAAACCGTCGAAATCACTGTCAAAGGTAAAGTAGTTCCCTATGAGGCAATCGCTTCTTCTTTCCTCCGTATTTCGAAATGAAATACGTGTTACCAAACTATCTACAAATGACTACTGAAGTGAAAGTTATCTACATTTTAGCTTAATGTACACGTTTGAACCTTTCTCTTGCGTGAATCAACGTTTTTGAGCGTTCTCCTGATTCTTTGAATTTTCCCGGATAGACTCCGTCTATTCAGTCGAGAGTCTTTGAGGAAAACGATCATCCTACCGAAGTTAATGAAGTCCCCGAACGACAAGACGATGTGTTCGATGTGGAATCTCCACAGACGGCATTTGACTATGCCATGAAATTACGCCGAGAAGAAAAACTGAAGGATGGAAATGTATCGCATAACAGCAAGGATTCCTTCAATTTTGGACTGAATTTCAACAGGATGACCAGGGACGAGGTAAAGACTTCGGAATCGATGATCGAAAAGTTTTTGTCGATTTTTGCATTATTCTCGAGGCATATTGTGTTAGGCATAGTATGTGTGTGACGTAGCTTGATTTTTTTGCGAATTCCTGAGTTTCGCGCGCAATCTCGAAAGCTCTTGTCTTGACTTTTTTTTAGACTCGTTTGTTTCGTGTGTACTCCGACCCAACATCAATAGCCCAACATCCAAGCTTAAAATTCTGCTTTTAGCGACATGCTTTTTAGGCTGAAAAATCTTTTGTGAAGTCGCTCTTTTGGTACAGTATTTGTTTTTGTATTCACGACAGAGAAATCGACAAAAGAACGAAAATAGTTGTAGAAATGTTTGTAGTGTCATAAATTCCACTGAATTACCGAACTTCTGAATTATTTGAGCTTCCCTGTTCGGAAAGCGCCTGTTAGCACCAGAAAGGAAATGAGTATTGTACTCTCAAATTATTGGATCGTATCAATTGAGTTTGATTCAGTCGATTTTTGCTTGTCAAGAAAAATAGCAGTGGTACTCTATTCAACTCCATTTTTTTCGCGCCAAAAATGTACTTGTAACTTTTCGCATTTTTTCTGTCAGCTGAACGAAAATAATTTTCCCAAGCAATTTGAGAAGTCATAAACTTGAAGCTGAATGATAGTTTTGCGACTCGCTATTTTGATGAGTACTTTCTCCTTCTGTGAGCACTCTTTTCTAACTGACCCTTTGCCCCTTACAGATTTACACGATCGTCAAGTCATCCGTAATATACAATGAAAACGATATCGTCGCTCTGAACAAGCCCTTCGGCATGAGTTGCCAAGGTGGATCGCCGAATGATCTCACTTTCATATCGAAACATTTGGACAGACTCGCTCGTGACATGGGCGCGAAAGATGTTCTTCTTCCGATACATAGATTGGACAAGGATTGCACGGGAGTTCTGGTCTATGCCAAGACAGAGCTCATGGCCAACTTATTGAGAGCTTGTTTTAGTCAGAGGAAAGTGGTCAAGATCTACTGGGCTATCCTGAAGGGAACCCCTGATCCAAACGAAGGTATGTTATTTTTGACACCGTATACTGGACATGAGTTTTCCTCAACCTTTTTGGGCCCGCGGACCGGCAAATTTTCATAAACATTTTTTGCCAACCGGCGAAGTTCCATAAAAATGTTGCAGACCAGCAGAAATTATTTAAATACCTGCCATGAAGTCCTCCAAACAAAACTTTCATTGCGAAATTTAATTTAAGAGCCAATGAAGCAGCTATAGAAGAATGTTTTAAAAAATATTAGCAAGCTGGGCTTGAAGAAAGTATTCTCAGAAGTAAAACTTGAAATAATTTATTTCAGCTGGTGAAAATTTGTCCCAAGTGTTATCCGGAGAAAAGCCAATGTTTTTTTTTCTGAATTTGCGGTGAAGGCGCATTTGCTCTACAACGAAATTCAAGGGAGCAGAAAAAATGGCATTTTGAAAATACAGATACACTTTAAAACAATTTTCTCTTCATAAAGATTTTTTGTAGCCCCATGGAGTTCTCTTGCATGGAACGTTTATAACATGCTCAGAGAACTCTACGGGAGCACACGAAAAAAAAAATCGTTTTACGTAGAAAATCGTTGTAAAGAGAGTCTACCTCAACTACCTGTAATAAGTTTTGGGTCGCGGTCCACTGTAAAAATCATTGCCTACCTCATGTATACTTACGAGGGTTCTAACAAAAGTTCTCGGAGTAGCAATGAAAATGGCATACAATTGAGCTGAAAAAAATGCATTCTCTAGCCAAAACATATTCTTTGGCACACAAAAAAAATCAGCCTGGTTTGAATTGAGTGGAGAGCAAAACTCTATATGGATGAATTTTGCAAAAAAATTTAAAAAGAAATTGTCAAACCAGGCTGATTTTTTTTGTGTGCCAAAGAATATGTTTTGGCTAGAGAATGCATTTTTTTCAGCTCAATTGTAGGCCATTTTCATTGCTACTCCAAGAACTTTTGTTAGAACCCTCGTATAGTCTTATCAAGGACCCGGTGAATGCCCTTATGCATTATCGGATTCTTCCGAGTCGAGCCAGAGCAAGAAGCCATGATATGCATATTAAATTTGTGGTATTATTCTTTCTTCAAATTAGGCATTATCGATATCCCGATTGCGGAAGGGCGGTTGGGCGACCGAAGAAGAATGGTTTTGCGACCAGAAGCCATTTCGAGCGGTGGCAGTAAAGCAAGGACTTATTACAAGGTGATATCAACCCGTGGAAGTGCGTGTTTGGTTGAACTGCGCCCCGAAACTGGACTCAAGCACCAGCTCCGAGTGCACACTGCCTTCGGATTGTCTTGCGGTATTCTGGGTGACCACAAGTATTCGCATCGCGACAAGTTCGCTCCTCAGGTGAGTCCGTATCTGATTTTATTTTGTTTGAAAAAAAATAATACCGTGTTTATGAAGCTAGCAGAGAAGCTTTTTTTCGGAATATTGTTTCCAGCATGTTTAATAAATTAGAGTGATGACGTGTCATATGCGCAGGTCAAAGGCAGGATTGCCTGCGACGACAAAAATATTTTGAATAGATCGTACGGTTAAAAAAAAAATCCTGACTAATGTATAATAAGCTTGATGGGGAAAAACAGGTGGACTCTCTCCAAAGATTTTGTCTACAACGATCCTCTGTTGAACGATTTTTTTCTTCACATAGGATTCTCTCTCCATGTCGTAAAGGGCAGGTTATCTACGACGAAATTCTCTTCGCAACGATTTTTTTTTCTGTCCCCTTCAATTTTTTTGAAGAGAGTACACAAGTAGTATAAAAATCCACCTCGTATTCAGTGACGTTAAGCTGGCTATTGAATTAAAATTGGAATAAACGGATTCATGTGATTTTCAAGAAATTGAATGCGATCAGACTGACTGACTTCTATTTCTAGGCAAAATAGTTTTTATTTTTGATGCGCAAGTAATGAAGTTGTTGGAGCGGAGATTTCTTACAAATACAGTACAGTGCTGTGAACTGTAAATGGTGCTTGAAAAGTCCCTACAGTGAAGAATAGTCAGTGTTGGTAGTACATGTATTTTCATGCTTCGCCCTTGAAGATCACGAAGTATTGAAAAATTGGTAGATTGTCACTTGTGGTCAACGTTTTTTTTTTTTCCTTCAATGAGTCACCCATACTAATTAAATGCATCATGAATGTCGACTTTTCCTGTGCAGAGTAATTTTTTAGAAACGTCGCGTGAAGAATAAAAAATAATTAGCACTTTTTTTGACTTGAAAAATGACATCTGATGAAAATTTATTCTGGTATTTCAACGATTCTGGAGAGGATTCCGCATTAGAAATTTTAAAGATTTCTTCACGTGTCCCAGGAATGGAAATCAAACGATTAATTGAAGCTTGTGTTAGTTATTCGTAGAACATTTCTATCTCATGCGAAATATTACTGAATTCTCAGTTTCGCCGCGAACAAATCTTGCCTAAATGCTTGCTACATTATCTAGTGTATTTCCCGAGAAACTGATCTTTCACGTTCGCCGTATGATGAGAGTGAATTTTTCGCGTTTATTTCAGAAATTGAGCGGAGACATTCTCAGTGCTCTCAAAATCCGGTCCCAAGATGCGCGGGATGTTCCGCTTCATTTACACGCGAAGGCCCTGGTTTTTCCCGAATTGCTGAGTAACAAAACCAAGAACCTGTTTATTCGCGCGGAAGTTCCCAAGGGCTTTCGGAAAACTCTACGGAAATTGCGTCTCAGTTCTGGTGCTAATTAGTAATGAATTTTTTTTTGCGTAGAAAGCGATTTTGAGAACAGTTCAGTCGTTTTTTTTATGGTTCCCGGAGGTTTTCTATTTTTCCGAACGATGTTGATTGGTTTTTTGGTTTTCGCAGGAAGTTCGCTTGTTTTTGTATTCAACGTGGAATCCGTGTGAAGTGCCTAAAATGATCGTTCGCGGAATAAGCGGAATTCATTGGGTTGCCTTTCGTCAATTGTTCTAAATCGCAGTTGTTTTAAAGCTATTGTATCTTATTCACGATTTTGAACTGTTCCGTTTTTGCAAAACGGGATTATAACCTAAATCGTGTAAAACCTAATCTCAAATTACTATATGTCTTTACTGTGAATGCAGTGGTACGATGATTCAAAAGCGAAAAGAAATTCAAAATAATGTGTCACCTGTTCATTTAATGTACAGTGAATGATGTCCGAAAGGTTTTTCTGCAGCGAGAACTTCCTGCAGGAAATTCGTGGAATGCCTTTCTAAGTTGTCTGTTAACCCTTGGACGGTGGCAGCCTCCTTTCCATCCCAGGGCAAAGTCAGACTTTTTCCCCATGGGCCTGCATTATATTTTTGCACAAGGTTATGCAACCCCTGCCAGGTGGGGGAGGGCAAAGTCGGATTTTATCCGGGGATAAAGAAATGCTGGGAAAGTCCTGAGTCGGACTTTTTCCGTATTGACCTCTAACCTGGGCTCCTGGCTTTCAAGCTTAAATTTAATCTTTCAATGGGGAAACAACAGAAGGCCAAGGGAAAAAATGGGAGCCTTGAAGTTTCCTTTTTTTCATTTTCAGGTGAAATTTTTCTGTGGAAAATTTAGAAAAATGCCAGGATTTTTCCCAACTTTGCCCTGCACACACTGTTTGGGTTATTTTAATTCCACTCTTGAGTGTAACCAAAATCTGAAAAAAGTCCAACTTTGCTGCAGAAGGGTCCTCCAGTGTGGGTAGATGTTATTAGTCTAACTATCTAAGTTACTTTTCATGTTTTTATTGTACTGTAATGTGCAGTCTCATTTGATTTTAGGTTTTTTTTTTTTTTCTGCACGCATGGACGTTCTTGTAGGAAAACGCATTAGATTCTGCGTGCAATTTGCAAAAGTATTGTGCCGTACTGTGAAGTGAATCAATTTTTGTATTTTTTTTTTCTGAATCAAGTGCATTTTTGAAAACATCTCGGTACTTTTCACATCGATTTTCATGCACGCATGCGTGTTTCTAGGAATCTTGTTACTAAAAAAGTATACAACGAATTTATTTTCCAGGTCCCTGCCCAATAGCAGCCATGTTAATCAAACCGTTTCACAACAAATGTAGTTTTATAACAAAGCGTTTCTCCCGGTCCGAGCACCTTCTCTATTATGAGATTTTACTTAGTAAGCATAACAGTAAATTCCCTTCGTTTTCGCGTCACGAAAACTTGTTGTGCTCCAAATTATTTAATTCCAGATTATTATTATTTCTTGCTGCGTCATTCACAGGAGGAAACGACGATGCCTACCTTCCCTTATTTCCAAATTCCGTCCGTAGTTTACTCATTCCGGTCGTGATTTCGAATTTCGTGTGGAAAAAAAACATTTATTTCAGAAGTGCTGTACCGAAAAGAACTGGACTTGAAAACGGAGAAGATGAAAACATGACACTGTATAATGCGGACTTACAGCAGTGCTACGTTCGCCGTGCTGAGTGCCGGAACAGCGCTTTGTCGCCTTGTCGCGTCCCGAGTGGAAGCTTCCCGTTTAAGGAGTCTGGGTCATCCGTGTCGCTTCGCGTCTGCGTTTTTCGGTGGTCTTGGTGGCATGAGTTTACGAGGCCAATCGGCGTACCAGCTTCGACCCACTGCTGGAATCATAAGTGAGCGGTGGATGAATTTACAGGGAATATTCCGTTACGACGAATCCCGGGAGCGTTTGGGGATAATTCTGTGTAAACGAGGGGTCTAATAAAAGTTCTCGAGATAGAAATTGAAACTGCATATGATTTAGCTGAAGAATAACTATTTTTTCAGAAAAAAATAGTATTTGGCACAAGAAAATAATTTTCATTGCAGTTTGACTGTTGTATTATTATTTTTTCTTCAAGAGAAACCCTGGCTGCTTTCTTCTCTTTACTCAAAAGATGAGGCGCCCATCTTGCAGATTTTTTGGTGAAGCACAGCTTTGTCTTCAGAATTCTTGACATTGACGTGGCATTAATTATGAGATTCACCTCCATGGCTTCCGAAGTATTTTCGTCAACCGTTGCCACATTATCATCTCAAGTGGCGGCTGTTGATGAAAATCGCAAAATTAATGACAGAAACCCTTGGAATTAATGCTGTGTCACTTTTAAAAATTCTTGAGGGAAAGCTAGGCCTTAAAAAAGGGCTGTGAGATGGGCGCCTCATCTTCTGAGTGAAAAGAAAAAAACTGCCAGGGTGATTTTTGCAAAAATTTTCCAAAAAATTTCGAACGGGGCTGAATTCGTTCTTGTGCCAAACAATTTTTTTTTCTGAACAATTTAGTGATTGTTTTTCAGTTCAATAAAATGCCGTTTCAAATTATATTCGAAGATCCTTTTTTAACCCCTTGTGTAGGTTGAATCTGTCTCTAAAGCAAAATTCAATGGACTAGAAAATATTTGAGGTAGAGACAATTTTGTTGTAGAGAACCCCCATAACATGGGGAGAGAACCCTATATGCCCATTGGACCGAACATATTTTTATGAAGAGAACATTTTTGTATACAAGATCATTGATGAAAAAAAAAGTCCACTTGTACTGCAATTTGTTTGCCCTGTAGGCAAACATTTTTGTTGGGTTAATGTATCAGTGAAGTGAATAGTGTGCAGTATTACGTTTTCCTCAAAAACGCTTCTTTCACTGAAATTGGTAAATTTGTTGTGAATAGATTGTTGTAATATCTACTGTGTTGGCTTCCTGCTGGGACTTGAGAACAAATTGTTATACTGAAAAATGTGTTGTTAGTGTATTTTTTGTAATGTAAGTTTACTTTATATGTATTGGTGAAGGCAAGAATACTTCTAAAATGTTCATAATTTCTTTTCCAACTTCGGTAGTGCCAAAATTCAACTAACCTACCTGCCCTTTCTTAAATTACGGCTTTGTGTCTTTTGACTAACAATTATGAGTGACTTGACCAAGTATTCGAATCAACTGAAAAGTTTTAGAGTTTCAGACTGCCGAATCGAGATTTTGTTAGGGGTTGAGAATTTGGTTTGAACGTCATTTCAGTATTCTATTGAGCTGAATTATTAGTCGTGATGAATGGATTATTTTTGTGATCTTTATGTTGAAGCTGGACCGAAAATGCAAAGATGGCAACAAATCTTTCGCAAAACTTTTCCGAAAATTGTTTCTCCTTGATATCGTGTATGAATTGAATCGAACGATGTTCTTTTTATTGATCTCGTTGAGCATTTAGCTGATGAACGATTCATCTTTATAGGTAATATTATGATCCTTCATGTTTCGCAGTTATTGGCGATGAGGTTCTCAAGGGTCAGGTGAGAGACGCCAACTCACCGTATTTCTGCGAAAAGCTGACCAAATTGGGCGTCAAAGTATGCAAGGTGAAGTACTGTACGTGCTTATTTTCGAATCATCCCGTATGTTTCTTCGAAGAATATTTACATTATCTGCGGATTTGAACATTGTTGCGTTCTTAATCGCTTCTCCTCTTCAAATCCTCTTGTCGAGTTCTAGATTTAGTTCAGTGCATTGTAATAAGATTTCTCAGAGTTTTTTTTACCACAGTGTGAAGATTTCAAAGTAAACAAGATGCATGCGACGCATATGTAATTGTCAAACAATTTGGTAGAATTGTGTAATCTTTTTCGGGCGTTTATGTTAGGATTGAAATCTGATCAAGATCAGCTTCGTATTTATGATTAATGCGTCCCTATTAAACCACCTTTTGAATGCATTAATTTTCGTGCGTTATTAAATTTTTTTATCAAAAAGGTTCAGTGAAAAATCGAAATGAACTGCGTATTTTCCGTCTTCAGGTGTCGACGATAGCGGATGATGTCGACGTTATTGCAGATGAGGTGCGTCGGTTCTCCGAGACGTACACATACGTTTTCACATCTGGCGGCATTGGACCGACGCATGACGACAGAACTTTCGAATGTATGTATTGGTCATGAAAATTGCCAAAGGACTTCAATATGTTAGAACTGCGAAGTCATCATTGTTCTGCCGTTGCTTTTTCTTCAATTAATTCATCATTTATTATTTTTTTGATGTGGAATATTGTTTTCTAGGAGGGAAGTCCAGAAAATATTAGACAGATTTTTCATAAGTACATGCAGTAATATTTACAGAATTATGAATGCTAGAAAGGTAATGGGCCTCAAAGGAAAGTTCCATTCAATTGCTTTTAAATTTGTTTCTATTAATCATGTTTAACATTTGAAAACATGTAACCTGTGAAAAAAATGTTGAAAATGTGAAAACGAAAAAGTATGAATTTTGGAAAGCTGATCTCATTTTCCAAGAAATTTCGATTTTATCACCAGTTCGAAACATTTAAAAATGTTCGGTTTGTATTTCGTGGTTTAAGGCTATTTGAAATCCATGCGCCTAAAAGCTTGTCTGGCAATCAGTATGGATTTTCATTCAGATTGAAATTCCAGCAAGTTACATTTGAAATGTTTTCAAATTTAATTTAATTCAAGTCCCGGATAGTCAAATTTTCAAGTGAACTGTCGACAATTCGGTGCGCGACACCATACGACTACATATACTGCTCGACATTTTCTCAATATGAGATATTAAGGGGAAATTTTACGGCTTTTTGTACTGTAAAGTTTTTGTTGTCTAAATTTCTGCGAATTAAATTTTAGCGTAAGTCTCAGTTCAGAAAACAATATTTATGTGTATGGATTTAGAGTCGACTTGGTCGTACATATCAGAAAATATTTACTAACGTTTATTTCATGAGTAGATATTGTATAAGTAAAATGGTATTTACTGATGAAGTACAATTATGTTCTGTTCCACTTCAGAGGCCATGAAGTCAATATTTTTCAACGAATATTTGTTTGTCCCCAGGAAGATTGATCTACATGGATTGTGGACTCGCGAGTTTTCTGAAATTGTAGCTTTGTCATCCGCTAAGTCATCTCACAGACACGCCTTGAATTCATTCTGATCTAAGTTCTTATCCTGGAATCTGAATGATGTACAGTGGGGCCCCGAGATGCTGACGTAATTGATGCTTGAACCTTGTCCCTATGTCGGAACGTCCGCGTGTCGGATAAGGTTTTCTTTCAGACTTCAATGGGAACATTTTTTAATTGGTTTCCCTGTTGATCAAAAATTAGGAAAAAGTCCCCCGAAGAATTGAAAAAATAATTTTTCTCAACTTCATGAAACACTGCGGAAGAAAATCACACATAACCTACATTTTTTGTATGAAAAGGCGCCCAGAAGAGCGAAGGACAAGCACACATTTTTCAGTACAGTACTGTACTTTGCACAGATAAATGGGGAAACGAAGCACAAAATTAGCCTGTTTGGGTTAGGAATTTATAAAGAAATTTATCTCATTTTTGTGAATGTGAAAAACTTAATTTCTTCACGAGATATCAAAAATTTTAAAAATCAAATTTTTCTGTAATTCTGGAAATGTTGGTAAAGTGTCAGTATCTCGAGAATTGTTTTCTGGATTTTGGAGTAGATTTTTTTTTACCTCCAAAAGTCGACTCATCCATTTGTTGGGTCGTCTGCATGTTGCGACCCCACTGTATCTTGAATCTGTCTACACGTGGACTGAACTTTTTTTTATTGAGCATTTTGAAAGGTTTGATTTTTTCGGACAGCTGTGGCCAAAGCCTTCGATTTACGGCTTGTGCTGCATCCTGATCTCGAGGACTTCTGCCGCGTCTGGTTTAAGACGAGTGACATAACTTCCGTTGTCTTCAAAATGGCAAAGGTTCGCTCTTCTGCTTCTTTTAATGGGACAAACATCATTCCTTCTTTTCAGTCTGCGGGATGAAGGATGATTGATTTCTGTGCTTGCTTTGGTGATGCCGAATGTTTTTCTTTTTTTTTTATTCTGCTATCGAGTGGCTATTTGTGTTGCCAGCGTATTTGGCTTATTGATTATGTGCGTTTGTTTTCTGGCCTTTTTTTTTGAAATACTGTAGTACCGTAACTTGGGCGTCTTTCAAAATAACGCTGCAGTGATTATAATTCCGAATTCCAAATATTGCCTTGGTGCAGTCGGGCTTGAGAAAAAATCCGATTGGATTCCCTCCGCCAAGATGTTTTTCCCGCTCAAACAGTGATTCCACTGGAAGTTGATATTGTTTAAAGAGGGTGTTTTCGAAAGATCTTGGGATTTATAGACATTCTCCAGCACAAGCTCTGGTCTTTTTGATTGAATTGCTATTAATTTTAATTTCTTTTTCAAGATACAGGAATCTAATAGAAGAATCGCATTACAAAATTTAAAAAATGTAATGCTTGAAAACAAACTTTCGAGTCTCTGATGAGGGATATTTTTGCATTCTCTCTTTTGCAATTTTTCATTACCCATTCTGTGGATTTCCAATACAAATGGACAATTTAATTTACTTTTGGAAAAGGAAAATTTGAGGCTGTTCCCAATTTTTTTGAAAACATTCTTTACTGGGAAAATCAAAACATGGTTCCTCCAAAAGGTTGCTATAACACGATGATAGTAAACAGGTTTTTTGTCATGACTTGGGAAAATGATCGTTATACAGTACTGTACTGGGGAATTTGTTGTACCAAAATCTTACTTCACTTTCGTTCAAAATTTTATTTTTACTAGCTTTTGAATTTGTATGGCCATCGCGAAACTTTCAACTTGGATTGAATTAAAACAGCTTAACTTGAGCTGAATGGGAACTTCTAATTGTTTTGTTTTTGTTTTAATAAAATTTAAAGGCTAATGAAAATGTCCTCTAATGATAGCAAATTTTTTTATATGTTCCCGAAAATTCTGAAATCCTTTTCTCTTGTGTTCAACGTGGAAAATGGGTGATTTTTAAACTTTTGAAATGCCCATCCTGATTGAAAGCTGGGCTTGTCATTCCGTGGTGCGTGCGTCTGTGACTACGGCATTTTTCTCGCGACTTTTTATATGTTCCCGGAATCTCAAGCCGTTTTAATCTAGGGAATTTATTTTGCTTCGTGTTTAGCAGGGCGATGTGTGCTCGTTCGCTCGTGT